ATACTGTAAATTTATGGTCATGCTAATAAAGCTATCAATTACCATAACACAGACCTCCTACTTAAAGTCAATCATATGTTCCCATTTGACCATAATTCTCCAATCAGAAAGCTTCGTTCGTGGGCGAACGAAGTCTCCCAGAATTTAAAGCCATGCCAGCAGGCGTTTATTAGTACTAGGCCCACCTAAATAAACGCCTGTTCGCAGGCTACTATAGAGCCACAATAACGATCGAAAGAGAAACATTTGACCACAACGGACACGAATACAATAGAATTCTTGACTATTTAGCTTTCTTCAGTTCGGCTTTAATGGCGTTTGTCTTTATAAATATAAATAAATGATATATGAATGTCATATGACTAGATTATTCCCACACAACACAACGTGACATACCGGGAGAAAATATTTCACCTTGCAGGCGCGAGTGCTCAGTCTGGTACGAACTGCATTCATGTCATTCTTCCATTGCTTAAGTTTGTTATGACACAAGATTTGAATCTTTAGCCATATTATAAAATACTCCTTTTACCTCCAGCAAATTACCGGGTGTGTCAAATTCTAGTATTTGTCCTTCAGAGAGAACCATAATCCTGCAGATAAATAAAAATAATTCACTTATATCATTATATTAATTGTAATATAATAATTCATTATATATTTATTTATTCATTAAGATCGTCAAGTCTGCAATATCCAACGATGAACGAAAATTATACAAATGCTTACGTCCTGTCTTCTGCATGGAGAGGGACTTCCTGAGGGAGGGGGAGATGGATTGGATGCGAAATACAAATGCATCCATAAGTATTCAAGTTTACCAATTATTTTGGCGACAAGGTTCGCTTTAGCTGAGAAAATCGTTTATGTAAATCACGAGTCAGTATCCGATTTACAGATATTATTTAAACATACTTTTTTTCTTAAATCACTACTTAGTTTTTAGTTGGTTTTAAATTTGGGGTGTTCGTCAAATTTTGATTTGAAATGATCGGAAAAGACTTCTCAGATCGCTGAACACGGTATGGTCGGAAAAACTTTGAAGTAATATATGAACAACGAGAGCGAGTGTTTCACCGGGATATCCAAACACGAGAAAACAATGTATGAAAACACGAGCGCGAAGCGCGAGTGTTTTCATACATTGTTTTCGAGTGTTTGGATATCCCGGTGAGACACGAGCTCGAGTTGTTTATATGGCTACTCAAATGAATCGATTAGGAATTCTATTCAAGTAATTTTGCATGCGTAATTAAGATATTTGATGAAAACACTAGTGATTTTCATCAAGTTTCACTGAGTTATCCAAATGGCATCTTGTGATCAAATAGGTGATTATCATTGGCTGAATTGCTCATGAATTATTAATGAATTTGAGAACACAAAGTTAAAAAGCCGAATTCACCCGAAGCATGTTGGAATTTTTGTAAAAACCTCCACAATAATAACTTCAATTTAAAACAGATAAACAACAGTTACCTTGTATGATCCATGATAGTGTTAAGTCGATGTGCAATAGTAAGAACAGTACAGTCTGAAAATTCTTTACGAATAGTTTGTTGAATAAGTTCATCAGTTTCTAAATCTACAGCAGCCGTTGCTTCATCCAGAACCAAAATTTTTGTTCTCCGTAATAAAGCTCGAGCTAGACACACTAATTGACGTTGACCAACACTAAAGACAATAAATATGATCTCAAAATTCCCGAAGAGCACTAGTGTATGTAAAAATCATTCCTAATCCTAACAGATGTAAGTTGATTAAACCACTGTTAATAGAAGGCATTAAACCCGCTTAAAGAAATTTGGAATTTAGTCACTACTTAAAATGAACATTGTTTAAACTTCTCAGAATTTTTTATGACAACTTCGTATTCTTGGTAAAGCGAGTCAATCTGACAGTCTTGGTATAGCGAGTAAGTCTTGGTAAAGACAGCTCACTGCGAGTACTTTCATCCAATCATAATGCTCGACAATTGTTTAATTAGATACAAGCACTTGCAGCTAATTGGCTAGCAGCATGTTTAAAGATTTGTAATCCAGGCATATTATAATTAATGAAAGTTCTCCGGATTGAATCATACTTTTATTGAGCTTTAGAAGTACCGAGTCGAAAGCTCAATAAAAGTATAATTCAATCTGGAGAACTTTCATTAATTATATATATATATATATATATATATATATATATATATATATATATATATATATATATATATATATATATATATATATATATGTATATTATATATATATATATATATATATATATATATATATATATATATATATATATATATATATATATATATATATATATATTTAGTATAATTACATAGGTGATTATTGAAAATTCTCCACGCTGATTGGTTGCCTATGAGGTGATTATTACGCGATAATCACCTAAGCGATTTTCAAAATGGCGGCCGAAGCCTTTTTGTCAATTAAATGACGAAGAAATGTGTATTTTCTTATTTTTCCCAAATAATCACCTATGAAATTATACTAAAACAATTATTCACCTCAGGCTCGGTGATTATCGTGAATAAAAACCTCGACTTCGTCTCGGCTTTTATTCACCGATAATCACCTCGCCTTCGGCGAATAATTGTTAAATAAAATTATTTTACCTCAGATTCTCGCCACCTTCAGCTACAGCATAATTCAAAGTATTGTCTAAGCCAGACACAAACGATTTGAGATGAGCGACCTCAAGCGCAGACCAAATCTCTTCATCTGTGTGCTTCTCAAATGGATCCAAATTAAAACGCAACGAAGCAGAAAATAATATAGGATCCTGATAAAGACAAATGGTGTGTTATTATTGTTATTGTTGTGCTATATATTGGTTTTCAAAGTTTTTCATCGCTTTACCTGTAATAAAGTTATAAAGGTGAGAAACTTATAGGCCTAAATGTTTTCCCATAACTCAACGGCCGATAAATATGTGCTACTAAATAGAAAAATAGGTAGTGAAAAAGAAACTGGCTTCTGAGATTAGCCATCAGGCGACGGTTGTTCAAACGCCGATTAGCATAACCCATGCTGTGATGCAGGTTAACTTAAAATTCAAAAGCAAACTTCCCGACAGCTTGTCTATAAATCAGGAAATGTTTCTTCAGAAATTTTGTCTGGATCGATAGGAGTTCACGTCTTTGTATAACGTTTTGAGATAAACATGAAGACGTGCAGATCTACACCTACCAAAACAGCGGGTTAAATTTTAACCGAGGGTTAGCACTAACCCACCTTTGAACAACCGGCCCCAGGATTTATTTAAAATCTGCTTCCTATTGGTTTCATATAGGTGCGTTGAACACTTTAGTGGCTTTATACAAATATAAAAATATCATTGCAACAATTACAAAAGGCTATACGTCAAGAACCTTTCCACAAGGCTTTATACGAGTAACGCCCATCCCATTATCATTAAAAGAGCACACAGCATTGAAAATGATTAATATGAAAATGGTTGTCAGTGAGTGAATTTTGTAAAAGAGTCAAGGTATCTCTGAATAGGCAATGTTGCTACCACAGCTGGCCACTCTCCTCCGCAGACAGCTCGAGCAGGCAGGCTATAGAAGCGACCGCGTGGTGGCCAGGCTATAGAAGCGACCGCGTGGTGGCCAGGCTATAGAAGCGACCTGGCATCGTCTACTTGCGCTTCGGTGGCGCAGTTGTCAGAGCAAGCGCCTTTCATCTCTGAGATCGTGGGTTTGATTCTCGCTACGGACTCACGTGAAAAGAGTCAGTGATCGTTCTGCCGAAAGTCGTTGGTTTTCTCTGGGTGCGCCGGTTTCCTCCCACAGGGAAAGTTGACAGGGTGGGTTGGGATAAACACAGTTCAATTAAGAAGTAATATATGAACAACGAGAGCGAGTGTTTCACCGGGATATCCAAACACGAGAAAACAATGTATGAAAACAATAGCGCGAAGCGCGAGTGTTTTCATACATTGTTTTCGAGTGTTTGGATATCCTGGTGAGACACGAGCTCGAGTTGTTTATATGGCTTCTCAAATGAATCGAGACGTAACAGAATGTTTTCTTTTGCTGATTTGAATAGAATTCTTAACCAAGCATAACGCAATTAGGAATTCTATTCAATTAATTTTGCATGCGTAATTAAGATATTTGATGAAAACACTAGTGACTTTCATCAAGTATCCAAATGGCATCTTGTGATCAAATAGGTGATTATCATTGGCTGGATTACTCATGAATTATTAATGAATTTGAGAAAGTAATATCACAATTGTTGTAAAGATAAAATAGTCTAGGCTCAGTAAGTAATGAGGTAAGCGTGATACTTGATGTAATTGTAAAGCAACCTCGTACCCAGGCTCTTTCGACTATGCTCGCAATGACCCTACACATGCTATAAATAATCCGCACAGATACAATTACGTGTGGAAAATTTACCTGAGGAATAATGGTGATCTTCGAGCGCAAGCCATGTAGTCCAATATCTGAGATATCAATGCCATCAATTACAATCCTGCCTTTGGCTGCTTCTAATATTCGGAACAAAGCCATTGTAAGAGTAGATTTACCAGAGCCTGTTCTGCCAACTATTCCAATCTAGAATAAATGAAATCTTCAGAGTCTATTTATAGTACTTATTTTATCGTGCATAGAGGATGTCCCCCAAATTTCCTTCACTATTTGTTCTGGTGTTGCAACGCTACAATCCTGGACAAAACCATCTGCGACACTCTATTAAAACATTCCTTTGTGGCTTTTTTTACCAGTTAGACCGGAATAATTTACTCGTTTGCCCCCCTCCGCCCCCCAAAACAATGTTGGACGTTTTATCCGTATTCTACGAATCCAATCAACATTGAATGGTGGGGGAAAGGGGGAGGTTTTCTAAATTTATGATAACATTACGATATTTTGTCAAGTATAATTGGAAGTGTCGCAGATGTTTTGTCCAGGATTGTCTGAGATGAGTCGAAATTACATTCTTTTATATTTCGCTTGTTATACATGTCCTTGCCATGTATTTTGTTTATGCGCATTGCTCATGACCTACTTATATTCATAATTACATCAAGTACCTTATTTCATTAATTAAATACGTCATGAATACCTTAGGCCTGGTTTATACGTCGAATTTCCGTCGAATTTAATTCGTCGCATTTAATGCAACCGAAATGCGACGGAAATGCGGCAGATCGAATTAATCAGTTTAGACGATAGATTTAATACGTCGCAAAGAACGCAAAAGCGTCCATTTCCCAGTCTCCCAAACATACAAGCGCGCTCAAAACGGCATGATACTTCAAGTAATACGTTCAAAGGTGCTTGTTTTTGTTGCAAGAAATGGCGGCAATTAACAAGGCTCTAATAGTAAGACAAATATTAAAAATAAGAAGGGAGCGAAGGCAGAAACAACTCCGAATACTACATTTTATTTTGGGACGAAAAAAGAAGCTACTACAGCTTTGCATATCAATGCATTCCCTTCTAATGGTCAAGCCTAAACGACCACGAATTCGAACATGTCGGCGTTTAGAAAGAACGACAACTTGGCATAGTTGGTGGACGTATATTTGGACAGAATATTCCGACAAACGATTCAAGAATACCTTCCGGTTATCACGAACAACTTTTCTTATGATTCTTGACAAAATAATAACGAATTTAGTGAAACCTGCAACAACAGAAGAACCAGTATCACCGGAATGTCGACTTGCCATTTGCTTGTATAGATTAGCACGTGGCGATTATTACTACACGCTTTCGGAGATGTCTGGTCTTGGTACTGCCACGATACAAGGCATAGTGAACGAGGTTTGTGAAGCAATTGTCATTAACCTTTGGTCCTCCTCTGTTTCTGCCCATTTTCCCACATCTGAAGAACAGGTGCAGGAAAAAATAATTGATATGGAAGAAAGATGGCAATTTCCTTGCTGTTGGGCAGCAATTGATGGATGCCACATTTCAATAAAATGTCCTGCTGGAGGTGGTGAAGCTGCCAAAGAATATCATAACTTTAAAAATTTTTATTCCATAGTGCTAATGGGTCTCATAGATGCGAAATATCGTTTTATATGGGCCAGTGCTGGTTTCCCGGGAAATACCCATGACTCTATGATATTGCAGGCCACCCAACTGTGGAAAGACATTAATGAAAATGATTTGATTCCTACAATTTCAAAAAAGATTGGTAATGTCGAAGTTGGCCCATTAGTGGTTGCAGATTCTGCATTTCCATTTTCTACCTGGCTAATGAAGCCATATACCTGTGCAATTCTTACTCCAGAAGAAAGGTACTTTAATTACCGCTTGTCTCGTGCAAGGATGGTTACTGAATGTGCATATGGTCAACTAAAAGGGAGATTTAGAGTATTGCACAGAAAAAGTGAATGTAATGAGGACACAATGAAAGCAATAACATTAGCATGTATTTAACCTGAAGTTCAGGCCCTAATTTGAAATAGGGCCTGACACAAAACCTGTCTAGACCGTGGGACGCCCACATGTTATTTTTAGACACAACATGCAATATGATTGACAAGTGTTGTAGATTTCGTTACACAAAAAATTATATTCTCATGAACATGTCCGCAGAGTGTGCATTTTGCTTTATAATTAAACTTAAAAATTCAAGGTATTTTTATATAAATAAGATTCAGTTTCTCTATTTAACCGAACAGCAAACAAAGATTTAATTAGTCAGTTCTGTGCACGGCTTGACTGCCAAGCTTTCTCAAGGTCTCAACTTGCTGGACGCGGATATTAGGGATATACTTTATTAAAACGGGCTAACAACAACAATGAAATTCTCAATCGTACCACGAAGAAGGCGATGTAGCTCAGAAAACAACGCCGGTAGGACCTGATATTAAAAATAAGACTTTTGCCGGCGAAGCCAGTTGGCAGAACATCTCAGTGGCTGTCAACAACAAGCTTTCGAATACATGACTAGTTTGGCTGTTCTTTCGGCGTCGTGTGTCCAAAATTCGTCCAAGGTTTTGATAAAGCCCTTCCGAAATACTGTTTGTTTGATTTATTTTCCGCCATAAAGCATGAAAGAAAAAGAAATTCGAAGAAATCGATAATGGGAATTTGTACGTGAGTTTGACCTTTATATTAATTGTTGCCTTGGCCGAGCTATTTTTAAAACTGTTGTTTATGTAAACTTGCAACCAATCAAAATCCTTCATGATGCTGATCAACCAATCAGATTTCCCGTCCACCAGATGGACGGGAATCCCACACTTCAGATAGGTTTTGTGTCAGGCCCTATTCTGTGATTAGGGCCTGAACTTCAGGTTAGCATGTATTGTACTCCACAATATTTGTATTGAATGTGATGAAGCCTTACCAATGCAACTAGATTTGAGCAATAACATAAGTGGACGGCGGGATAGGGAAACTGTGCGTCAGCTATTGAATATGCGTAGCTGTGCAAGAGTCAAGGATACCTCTGTCCAAGCTGGCAAAATACGGGCAGCATTAAAAGAAAAGGTTTGGAAGGAAAAACAAGGACATGGAGTGTGCTGACATTTTTTAACTTCTTCGATATGTGTGAATGATAGTTGTAAAATAGTATATTGGTGATAGAAAAACTTTATTACTGTTAAACTTTATCAAGGTAAATAATCCAAGTGAGATTGTGTGTGATACCTGACTGTAGGGCCCCTGCCCTTAGTTGTATGATTACGCAAGAATCACGCGTGGGACACTCGCGGGACAATATATAGATTAACAGTGGCTTCGAGCACATGTAAAACGAGAGTTTATATAGTTCACATTTTGTTAGTAATAAAATATATATCTTTTGCAATCGTTATGTTCCATACGTGAAGGGAAAAAGGAGTAACATTTTGGCGCCCAACGTGGGGCTGCCAACTGGTTTAGGGATGGAATTAAAGCCGATTTTGGTGGAAATATAAGCGACATTATGTAAGACGCTACGAAAGGGTTTTGACTTTGCTGTATTTGTTTATACTATGGAGAATCTCGAGGAATTACAACTAAAAGTGGAAGAGTTACTTTATAAAAACGATGTGGATGTGTTATTGCAAGCGGCCGAGAAGTTAAAGTATGAAAAGATCGAAGAATTGAAAGA